GAGGTTCATTCTCATGTTACGCAGCATGTTTGAGCTTCTAAACCGCTCAATTCATAAGGATTGGTTTCTCTTTATAAACTGTTTGAAGTTTCAAAGTGTCAGTTGTGTAGCTGTCTATGGAGATTTCACAGATTTCATCAAAAAGATCTTCATTTGTGTTCCAAAGATGAATGAAAGTCTTACAGGTTTGGAACGACATGAGGGTGAGTTAATAACAGAATTTTCATTTTTGGTCCAACTATCCCTTTAAGTGACACTTAATGTGAATGTAATTAGATTAGATAAATATCAAACCAAGTTGCATGTGCAAATAACTCTAGAAAGTACTTTTTGTCTTCACTTTGAACAGTACATTCTTCACTTCACAATCCAGCTTCATCTCACCCCCTGTATGAAAGTTCTCTTATTCAGCACATCGTAATCCCAGAGGATGATGTCTCCACCTTTGGAGCCGACTGCAACAGTGGTGGGATGGGTGGGATGCCATTCCAGACAAGTGACTCTCCGGTCAAATGGGCTGGCTGTGCGGTGGAGTTGGTAGGCTCCAAGAGAGCGTATGAAAGGCTCTTGCAGACACTATAACACAAGGGAGAGTAGTACATAGTACTGTAATATTGTTGTTGTTGACGAAGTTTTTTTAATAAAGTGCAGAGTGTAAAGGCCACATATTATACACATATCGCCACCATATACTGTACATATGCATTATATGCTTGTCATCACCTGGCGCAGTTGAGAATGGATGCTCTGTCCCAAGGTGCTTTTGTAAATGTAGTGAAGGATACTTGTTTGGCCCACTTTCTTTTGACCTCCAGTCCATTTCACACTTGCTTGTATGTAGGTGTCTGTTACATTACACAAATCCAGTTTATTTCACCAGCAAATCTAGATAGTGACCTTTTGTATATTTAATATTTAAACTTTTTGTATATTTAAAACAAACTATGCCATTCCAAGACATAACTAGCTTTCCTCACCAGCTTTTGGTGCCGTCTTGCCTTTTTGTTTGGCTTTTAGCTTTTTGGAGAGTGTTTGAGGAGGTTCTTCATTCGGTCTTTTCTTGACGTTCTTCGTCTGCTTCGAAGCAGTTGAGTCTGTCTGAGCCCTTCCTCGCGCCATTTCAAGTCTACTTTCTACTTGTGATTGTGAAAAGGGTCAACAAAGACATTGCATGTCAATTATGCGTTACACATGAAGTTAAATCGTAGATACGACCCGAACAACAAGAAAAATGCACTTTCTATTCTTTCTTACCTGCAAATGTAAAGCTGTCTGCATTACACTGGCAAGCCCTCGCAGATCAACACCGCTACACGTGCACAGACACGCATTTTGACTACATTCAGTGACGTATAAAACCGAATGTTTTGTAATCGTTGAGCGCAATACAGAGTTTATCCACTAGATGTCGCCAAATGTCGAAAAGTATTGATAGGCCTGAGTAAATCATGTGCGTTCATATCTATTTTTAAAGAGATTCAAATTTACAGCACTAGAAAAATCATTAAAAAAAACAAACAAAAAAAAAACATTGCACCTTTTCTATTTAGGTAACAAAAATATTGCCCGACATATTCTTTTTTCCTACTATTTTTTCCTACAATTTTTTTTTTTTTTTTTTTTTTTTTTTACATTTTTTCCCCTTTTTCCTACAATTAATTTTAACTGTTTGATTACTAACATTCTTTCAAATATCTTCTTTTGTGTTCGGGTTTGGAACAACTTGAGGGTGAGTAAATGACATAATTTTCTTTTTGGGTGAACTATTCCTTTAAACTGATCGTAGTCTATCGTCAAACCAAATAACATATAAGCTTGATGTAATACTACTTATAATATAGAAACAAGATTTGATTTAAGCGTCTTGGATACGGAGTTCAGGGCGTGTGTGTTGGCCAATCACAGAAGCCCATGGAGCTACAGCTGACAACGAAAACAAAGAAAGGCATGCTGTCCTCCCACTCGCTACTCATTGTCAGGAGGGGAAAATCATACATTCACGGTTTGTTTTTTATTCGGTTCTCACACGGAACGTCGAAAACACTTCTACATCTGACGGTAAGTTTGACAAAGAACACGCTCGAGCTGCGTTTATTGATGACCGGCTGTCTTTTCTGAAATAAAACGTGAAGTATTTTCTTTATAATATGTAAGTACTTAATTCCTTTGCAGTCCTTATATTTTACAACAGCTTTGTAGAACAAATAATTAATTCAAGAATAATTTTGCCTGACATTTTCATTGTGAACCCACGCCACGTGTTGTTCATTAAGAGCGATGAGCTTGATGTCATGTTATGGATTAAACTAGTGTCCCTTAAATTTTTTGATATATACTCGTATCAAATCAACAATCAAAATAAATATCTGAAATCAGAATGTTTAAAACAATATCTACTTCCACCTTGTAATTATCATAATGCTTAGTTGGATTTTGGATGCATATTTCTCCTTCTGTGTGCTTTGACTTTTTTTGTCAAGTCTATTGTTGTCAAATGTAAAAAATATACCTCGTTGTTTACCATTTATTAATGATGGGCTACTGCACAATGAAGATGAGTTACTTGAATCTTTACATTTAAGTATTTTAGTGATTGTTGTTACAATAAAGATTTAGGACCCTTGTATTTGTGTATTCTATGTTAAAATATGAGCTCTGATAGACCAGTCATATTATTTTTTAGGATTTTACACATCCCTCTAATGTATGTTAAAGGAGTAGTTCATAGATATCTTGGATGACATGGGAGTGAGTAAATTATCAGCAAAAGTTTTTTTAAAGGTGAACTACTCCTTCAAACAATATTTAATCAATTGAAGATTTTACTACCTAACAAAAAAGTGTTTCTGTACATTCAAAGGGCAAAGACAAGTGATTTTTTTTTCTTTCTCCCCAGCTCCCCTCTCCAGTCTTTAAGTTAATGATCTACTAACTTTTTGTACTTGAGGTATGGTGATTTTCAGGTAGCAGTATATGAGAATAATAGGGGTTTAATGATTAAATTTGTGTTTATTCAGGAAGGTACATTTCCAGCCACAAGGTTTATGACTAGAGTTTGATAACCCTGTCTATCACACTGCTGCTATAACAGGTTTGTAAAAAGCTATTGTAGACTTTTAGCTAAACACAAGCGATTGGTTTGACAGCAACACATTTTTACATTTTAATATATGTTGTTTTGATGCGCTTTTCCAGGTAACAGCTTTATGTATAAAAGACTAGATATAAAACGTCATCTTGAAACTATTTACCCACATAGGTGCACTTCCTGAGATGGTTACTGGACTGTGAGGTGCTATCGAGGAGAACACTAAAGAGAGGACTTCTAAAGCAATCACGGGATCAAGAAGAAGCTCTGTAGATGGCAGCTGGTCTCTCCATCTTGTAATTGCTGGAGCCTTCCTCTACTATGCTCAATCTCATCAAGCTACCTCAAGTGTTCACCATCAACCAAGTTCCAAAAGTAAGTTTTTCAATGCTGATGTTACTTTGCAATAAATATCTTTGTTTAGCACCATTGAATTTGTTGTACACTGGTTGAGTTGACAGTGTCATGTCAGTCATAAACTATTAAAGCAGATATATTATCTTGATAAATGCAAATTTCAGTTAATGAATATATGTTTCATTATAGGTCTTCCATGAGGATGGCATCATTTCAGGGTATCGCCACCCATGCAGCTCTGCCAAGGAGTGTGTGCTTAGTCTTTTCCAACTAACAAATGAAACTCTCAATATTTGGACTCATTTTCTGCCTACATGGTAAACTCACTTTCAGCATTCATCATTTCGTTTTGTATATGTTTACATTTGCTTATGAATTTTCCTGTAAGATCAACTTAATTGTTGCACATTAATGTGTAATTTAAAGTTTAAACTATTTGCATTTTATATACATATAGCTATATAATGTGAATGTTTATGCTTAAGAAATAAGCAAGCATTTGCAAATGATTAAGAGTCAATGACTGAATCATTATTGCAGTGTTATGTAAATTCATTGAAAGTCTTTGGGAAGTGCTGGAGGAGACTTTACACTACAGTGTGTTCCACTCTTGCATTGTCAATACAAGATCTTTCTTCCGTCTGGTAGTCGGTATAGAAGGCCGCTTAGTAAAACGAATCGTTTTAAAAATTCATTTGTTCCATCAGCTGTAAAGTTTTTAAATTCTATGTAAATGTATCTATTTGTGAATGTGTATGACAGTGTTTTTTATGTGTATGCCTGTTTTGCTTCAACCAAATTGCCTTCGGGAAATGAATAAAGAGGAACTGAACTGAACTGAACTGAGATCTTACCAAACATTTATGTTGTTCTTGATGGAGATTACATTTTTAAATCAAAAGTTGCATACGTTTTTGGTCAAGATCTGGCCGTGTTGTTTCAGAAATGAAAAACAACACAATCAGTTAGTGTTACATTTGGAACTGTTTCCAAATGTAAAACATGTTAGAAACATAATAATCACTGCAATAATGACCCAATCATTGACTCCTAAACATTTGCCTATTTAAATCCAAGGCATTTAGCCTTTTTATTGCAAGAGCATTCAGACTACTGCTACACCACGTCTTTGATGCACGCTTGCAATTTTAGATTGTCAAGTAATGGATGTTTTTTTGTTATGCAAGGTTTTTCTTATGGAAACTGCTGACGGTAGTGCTGGTGCAGGATGACTGGAAGGATCCATTCACCTGGCCCTTGCTGGTGTTCCTGCTGTCATGTTGTGTGTACCCACTCGCTTCCAGCTGTGCTCATACCTTCAGTACCATGTCAGAACGGGCCAGGCACATCTGCTTCTTCTTTGATTATGGAGCACTCAGCTTCTACAGCCTTGGTATGTAGAAAATACAACAGAACTATTGAGTAAAATGCAGTTTTTTTAAAAATTTGTGTATTTGATCATCAACAGGTTCTGCCATCGCCTACTCTTCTTACTCATTTCCAGATAAATGGGTTAATGGCACATTTCATGAATATTATGTTCCTATAGCTGTTGTCAACTCCGTGATCTCTACTGCACTGGCCTGCTACTCAAGGTAGGATAAGAAATCAATAAAACCTATAATTCCAGTAAAAACTGCTTTGTTAATTTACGTTTTGCAAATATACATTTTCCTGAAAGTTTATATTGTGCTAAAATGTCCAGACTAAACATTTTATTTCTTTTGTTTTAAGACTCGGTTTACCATTTCTTCAGTATAATTATCACAGCATTAAAAGGTAGTTCCTCTTTTGCATTCTTACCTTGGCATATTTGATTGTAAAAAAAAAAAAAAATGTTTTCAGTTAATAAACATTTATTATTCTCTTTTAGGTATTCTGGGGGGAAAGATCAGAAGCGCTGTAAACGTCTAAGGATAATCGCCTTTCTTTATCCATATCTCTTTGACAACATCCCTCTCTTTTATAGAGTAAGTGTTTTGGGTCATTTTCTATTCTCTGTTTGTTTTTTGTTTTTTGTGGAACAACTCAACTTTTTGTTTTGGTTGTTTTTGTATTGATTGAGAAATTTAACTAAATTAATTTATGTAAAGAACTTTGTTTGGACTTTTGGCCTCCTTTTGTAGATATTTGTGTGTGCTGGTGAGGGTTGCACTGTTAATGAGGCCAATACGGTTCACTATCAGCACACGTCATTGGCTCTCTTCACTGGCTTTCTTTTTGCCACACACCTGCCTGAACGGTTGGCTCCTGGTAGTTTTGACTACATAGGTACTATAACAAATCGTTCGATTTCCTTTTAACTAAGCATCTAACTATTCAGATTACACAACCTTAAACTCTACTAATTATAAACTTTTTTTTTTTTTTTTTTTTTTTTTTGATGCATCCTTCACAGGTCACAGTCATCAGCTCTTCCACGTGTTCGCTATTATTGGCACGTATTTCCAGATGACTGCTAATGAACTGGACATGGCTGCACGGAAGCAGTGGCTTCATGCTCACTTGCCACCGATCACCCTTTCAAACACAGTGGGAGCTGCAATATTTAGTGTGGTTAGCGGCCTTTGTATAATATATGTTTTTAGTCTGGCACTTTTCTCCACCAGAGGTGTGAAGAAGTTTGAAATGTGACATTTGATAAGGTTACTCTGGGCAGCCATGTTAGTTTCCCTAAAACGGAGTAAAATATATTTATATATATTTTATGACTGTTCAAAAGAAGCAATGTAATGAACAGCCTGAGAAGATTGTATTTAATCTGGAAGATTATAAGACTGTATAATTTATGATTAGGTTGTATGTTTGATCAATGTTTTTGTTGTAATTTTTTTTTTTATTTACTTAAATTCTTTAACATTTTCAAATCATATTTACAGATTTTTGAAGCACTTTAATCAGACTTATTAT